ACACACACACACACACACAATTGAATAAACTATTTTATAATTATTGTAACTATAAAATAATTTATTCCACTATACATATGTACATTAGTTTATAATATATATAATAATTTTGTGTACATATAAAATTTGTATAACTGTCACTTTTATAGTTGCTACTACTATCTTTATCTCTAAATGTCATTTTACTTGAAATATGATCAAAAAAATTGATTTTATTGCAATACAGTAGCTTCATTCACCGGACATGTGTGAACAATTGAATTGTTAAATGGAATATATCTCGAAAATTGAAGCAAAAATAACTATCCATACATCGCTTATTAAATAGGACAAAGCTTATCGCAGATGAGTAGACAGTTCATGCATATGATTGACAGTGATGCATATCTGATAACTCGCAAAATCTAGCGAGTAGATAAGACGCGAAGCATATGTCAATCGTCGAATCAATTCCCATTCAGGTCGTAACAATGATTCACGATGTAACTACATATAATCCCATCTACTGCGTGCGGCATGCGCGCATCTGTACGTCCGCGTTGTACGCATCCGCATTATGACGAGCAATACAACCGCGCACACCTCTACAGTACTACAACCACCTGTTCAGAATTAGCCAGCGTTACGCGTGTTACCAATATCGGAATTCAGTAATTAACCTTCATTATTTACAATCAGATTATTGCAGCTATGACTGTACACGGTCATCGATAAATTGCTATTAAATGGATTCTCCCATTCTCGTTTACTAATTTCTTAAAATTTACTGATCGCTCGTTCTCTTTCCCATGTTTTGCCATATTTATCGAATTATGGAGATTTCTAAACATTTCATTTTCAAGAATGCTTTTTCAAGAAGGCTGATAATAATTGCAATTAAAAAAGGAAATTTCTTCTGAACAAAAGACGATTTTATTGATCAAACTAATAAATTATATATAATAATATAAAAAATAAAATTTAAAAATATACGAAAAGCGGAATTGTAAATGTATAAATAATATTCTTCATTATTCTATATTAATAAATTCTAAAATATTCAATACAATCTCGAGTTGCGGTTACTATTAGTAATGAATGGCAAAGAAAAAATCTATTAATTATTTATTATTATTCACATGACTACAGTTGTATAAGAATATAAATATGTATACATATAGTATATATCTCTCTGTAGCTCCGTTCTATCTTTGCTCTCAAACTCACTTAACAGTACATTATTTAATTAAAACCAATTTTATGTTACGTAATTAGTAGGCAGCATATACAGATACATTTCAGCATACCCGTGGTAAATTAATTAAACGATGTCCCGAGGCGTTTAATTTTGGGAAAATGTCAGGAAAAAAATTAAATTATCATAACATATATATATATTTTTTCATAATCTTAATATTTTTTCCCTTAAGATTAATATTTTCTGATTAATATTAATACAAATTAACTCAATACTAAGAATTCCAATATATACTTTTCCTTTTCAATACTCTGACGTCTATCTTTATTTATTATTTAACTGCGAATCTATGCATTAAGTACATTTTTAAGAAGTCGATGTTTTAGATCTACATTGTGTGTTCATTTCTTATTTAGGCTCGATTGCAGCAACATTACTTTGACTTTAAGCTAGGTTTAAAACTCTCTCTGTCTCTGTCTCTCTTTCGCTTTAAAACGAAACGGAGAGAGTTTTAAGTCTTGCTTAAAGTCAAAGTTGATGCAACCGCACCTTAGTGTATCCAATATTACTGTATCTTACTAACGTAGCGATCGATACTCGGTTTTAGTCTGCCCGAACAAAGTTCCAGCAATTAAATTATTATTTCTCTATTAAAATATATAAATTATAAAATATACTACGCATCTTTACAACAAAGATGCTCGTTGTTGTTTTTTTCTTCTTTTTGCACTGCAAAGACGATCTATGCCGCGTTACTTGACCAATTCCTCCGGAAGAAAGAGGCAAGAAGGAAAAAAAAGTCGTATCGTGATAAGTGCGCGGTGAACTAACTTGTGCTATATCGTGTAAACTCCAACTAAATGGAGCATCGTATTCTTGGCTCGAGCTACTGAGATTCACACCGCTTCTATACTCCATCCACTGCCCACCGACCCGTTTCCAGGTGACCGTTCGCGTACACGTAAATATTGCAGGCACGAAAATCCAGGTTGGAAGGACCAAAGGGAAAAGCCAACAAACTGTTGCATTCTCCGTGAATCACACTTAAACCGGTACAACTCGTTCAGGATAAAATGTATCCGCCGTTCTACTACTCGTTTCTTCCATCGCGCGATACTTTTAATCGTATTAGAAAAAAGTGAAACAATGCTCAAAGGAATAGTACAATGAGTTCCTGAGAGATACATCGAAAGAATTACCTCGTTGAGAAAAAGATGAGCGAGATAAGAACAAGAATGTGTTTCGCGATTAAAGAAAATTGTGCTTTGGAAGTAAATATTATTTTCTTCATAACAGTTGACTTATTTTTAATAAAAAATATATTTTGTGTGCACAAAAATATTTTAATTATGATTAGAAAATAATAGAAAATTTTTCGAAAAAAATCATTTTGTAACACAGAAATATATATTTTGCAATAAATGTTAAATAACAGAGACAAGAAATATTATGTACTGCAGAGATAAACAATCATCGAAAAAATAATCCAAAAATTAATTATTTGTTAAACATTTCTTAGATTGTGTGATTCTGAAATTAAAATTAAAATCAACTTCAAATATCAAAGATATTTGCGCTTTCGAATACATTCGCGTACGTTTCGGAACAGTAATATTTTTTGTAAACAGTGCGCAAAAAATCCCATCTCCCATAAAATACACCTCGCTTGTGACAACAAGCGGATATTGCGTGAGACAGAATTCGGTAAATTGATTCTGTCGAAAACCGTAAGGTTAGTGAACGTCCAATGGATGAAACTTTGCTGGCAGACAACTTGTCGTATCGTTACGTAATAATGCCGTTGCAATTGATCCCATTGTACCTCACCGTTGTATAAAAAATGCACTATTGATTGCGACAAAATAAATGCTATTCAAAATGCACTAATAGGTTAATATAAAGCGCAAAACGTAAGGTGCTGCTTTAAAGTGCGATCAAATCTTTATGATGCAACAGATAATTTTTATCAAACGCTTCGCTTTTGTTGATTATTTTTTGCTACTTTTTATAATTATTAGAAATATGTAATATGTATAACATTTGTAGCAAAAATATATTGTTATTTGCTACAACAATGACATAACTTAATAACTTAAAAACATAAAGGAAAAAACACTTTTAGAAAATATAATTATATTTCGTTATAATCAGTAATTACACCAAAATTGCATTTTAAAATCAATGCAAATTACAAAATTTTAACGATTTAAAACATTCAAACTTATTGTCTGAAAAATTTTGTTTTTGGAGTTATGTCTTATTGTTGTAGCAAAAGAGCGATATACAGAGCAACATATAGTGTGTATGTGTGTGTTTGCGTGTGTTGTGTGTTGTGTGTGTGTGTGTGTGTGTGTGTGTTCCTGGATTAACTACCAAACATAAAATATGAATATGAAAATATTCAAGATCTCAAAACAAACAACATTTTCCTCTGGAAGTTTGCTCGCAAACGTTTCGTTTAAATTTAAGAGATATCTTGGATTACAGAATGGTAAAAAATGAATAATATTGAAATATCTCTTGGTTTTGTATGAAGTACTCATTAATGATTTTCAGTTATTAAAGCGGAAGATGCAAGCGAAGGAATTTATATAGACACACAATGTCAGTCAGTTATTTGTTCTCTCATCGATAAGTGCAATTAATACTGTCTCACAGTTGGAGGCTATTATTTTGAACAAAACTTTTAATAATTGCATTTTGATTATTGCAAAGTAATAAACTTAGATTATTTCGACATTATTTATTCCTTATATAATTTTGTACTTAATATCTCTTAAACAAAGCATTTGCTAGCAAACTTCCAGAGGAAAATTTTGTTTGTCATTATTATTATGTTTGTTATTATTCATATTTTAGTCCGGAAACATCCTGTATAAATATATGTATATACATATATAAATATAAATAAATAAAAGTACATATATGTCTATACAGTGTGCCAAATCTTTTAATCTCAGTGATATCTTAATTCTCTGTTTTCACTTTTAATAGAAGAAAGTCGCCTGTACTGACATAAATCTTCTAAAAAGACAGCCCCTTATTTCTTGCTAAAGAAGTTAATTATTGAATCTTATTTCTGATAAAAACATAATCTGTTTAGATAATTAAAAAAGTAAAAATTCATAATTTATATATTTGTAGCTTATTTTTACACAAAATTAATTAAAAACAAATTCTGCAAGTGCAAAAATAAAATGTTTATGATTTTCTTTTGCAAATTGCGTAATTTAAATAATAGTAATTATATTATTGATGTTATATAGTTTTACATATTTGTAGTTCCCCAAATTAGTTTTATTACATTTTTTCTTTTACATTTTTTCATATGATTTTAAATATAAATAAGGGCAGCATAAACCGGCACAACTGTCTACAAGATAAGATTATAAGCTAATTTAATCTATACGAACATTTTACAATAAGTCATTACTTAAATTTTAAGTCTTAAGCCGTAACAAAATTGACTAGTTACAGTCGAATGTGAAAAGAATAATCGATTATAATTGGTTAATTTTATACGGCCTAAGACTTAAAGCTTGGGTAATGACTCATTGTAGAAAGCCCATTATATCTTGCGTTACAGTATCAAGTAGCTCTATCAGAGTTCAAGACAATCATGTATTTATAAAAAAAATCTTAAAAAAACTGTCATATTATATATTTGCAGAATAGTATAAAATGCATACAAATCAAGAAAAACCGTTTTATATCAAAGTAAACAGATTCTAGAAAACCTTATATTATACATTCAGTTGTAAATATTTTGTACATATGATTTCTTCCTGTGAAAGTAAAAGAATAGAAATATGTGGCATTGTTGTTTACTGCGTCAGCACAAACACAGTTTTGGGACCCATTTTGTTAGACGCTTATTTTTGCTTATTTTACAAAAAAGTTAATTATTGCAAAATTACAAACAGTAGTTACCTGATGGTAGACAGTTTTTGTAGTTTGTAATTATGTTTTTAAAGTTTTATTTTTAGCTTCTGTTTCTGAGAAATATTTAAATATAAAGTGATGTATCGGTATCAGTGACCTTTCTCTACCTATTCATTATTCTATTATCAATTAACGCGTAATGAAAAAAGATCTTACCTTATAGACCTCCCAGGTTGCGCTGAACGGTAGGACAGCGACGCCGACCATCAGATCGGCGACCGCCAGGCTCACAATGAACATATTCGTCACGTTTCTCAGCTTGCTGGTACAATAGACGGCCAGAATGACTAGGACGTTACCTACCACCACCATGACATCGATGATCGCCAGAACGATTAGAGTAATCACGTTCCACAGACTTGACCATTCGACGCCGTCGTACAAAGCAGCGCATGCGGTGGCGTTCAGGTCTCGCATTTTAATTAACTCTCGCGGTCCTCGGATACGCCCATGTGATCCTGTCGGAGGACTCCAGAGGATATCGGACACGGTGACGACGACGGGTGATGCGAACTCGGTAGGACGCGCGAGGCATCGCGAGCCGTCGTAACGGGATCAAAGTTCTTCTGCGTTAAAACTTAAATGTAACTCAGAACGATTAAATACACTATGGTCTTTGCAGTTTTTCACAGAATACCACAATCCTCTCGCACTACCAGAAATAATAAGTGAAGACTTTATGACTGGTCGATCGATTCACTCGACGGTAGGACTAGAACTGAAGGAAGCTCGATGTTTACCATGGTCTTTGAACCCGAGGAACAACCACGCTTTCTTCGTATATTAATCTATCGATTAATTACGTTTAGTTTCTTAATGAATTAATTTTTCAATTAATTTATATCTTACGCGAGTGTCGTCAAGATGTTACATCAAGCTTTATATTACGTTTAATTTAAGTATCTTTATGTTACACAGAATGAAGACAGGAATTGCAGCTCGTTTCTGAATTATTCTCAAGATTGTCACTGGACTTTCTTAAATACTACTTCAAGTTTGCGAAATAAATTACACTTGTTTTTATACTATCAACTTAGTGTTAACTGTTACAACAAAGTTCTTTGCCTTTCTCATTTATCATATATTATTTCTAATTTTTCGTCGAACGCGGTTGTTAATTGAAGACCAAATCCCGTGGATTGTCATCAATATTCCCACGATTACGATCGGATGAGCTCGTTAATGCGCATGTATACACGCTTGCCAAAACACTTGATCATACACTGCTCGATAGTCAATCCGATGCTTTAGTTTCGTAGTCGCAAATAGGGTCGCAAAACGTTACCCCTGGATAATCGATAACACTCGCTCTCAGCATGCACACAGTCGCTAGCGTTGCATCTCGGATGTCTAACGTTAAGCAGCGTTTAAACAGACCGTTGTTTTAGACAGCTCGCCGGGGCTATCGAATTTAACGAACTACAATCTAGTTTGTGCTTCGGATATCTGTGTGGCTCACTTGTCACCGCTTTCATTTTCCTACCGTCGCGAATTTCGAGTGCGCGATCTGCAACAATCGCCTTGACGTCAATCGATCGAATCTTTCATAATTCACAACGCGAATTTCCTAGTTACTTCGTCGGATACGTTTAATTATCTACATTCGAATTCTACGCGACTACTCTCTCGTCCGCGTTTATATTTGATACTATTACAATCGAATGAAACGCGCGACTCTACAAATGTGATACTTCAACACTATTTTGCGTGATCCCGCTGACACAACGCGCAGAAGGTCGAAGCCTTGACCGGAAACCGTTTCGATGAAATCGCCCTAATTGTCCGTCATCGAGCTTTGTATTGTCATACGATTCACGTGCCACCGATCCATTAACGTTTTCCTAAAAAAAGACAGCAGCAATACAGGAAAGGGAACGTGTAGCTGACATCCCCTAACGCGCTGACACCGCTCGCTTGATCTTCGTTGGTTTCTCTTCTTCTATCGCAGCATGTATCTCGCTTCTCATCTCTCTCTCTCTCTCTCTCTCTCTCTCTCTCTCTCTCTCTCTTTCTTTTTCTTCCCTCTCTTTTTTTTCCCTCGCCGCGGATATATCAGAACCTGCAGCGGCCTGCAATCTCTCTTTCGGAGGCTTCAACCACGCTATACTGCTTTGACTGCACTTTTCACTCCCCCGCACAAGCCATCCCACGACGATCACGTACCTACCCCCGTAATCCACCGACCCTCTACCACCGTCTTCAGCTGCAACCACCCGCGAGGGTGCTTCTCCTCCCGTTACGAAATCGAATCCGACGGAAGTTTTCCGTCGCTCGTTCCGCTCGAAGGACCGACGTTATTCCGACGGGAATAGAAAATAACGTCGTCGCCTCTATTAGGCACGATCGTCAACTAGCGTTTACTACGAATTTTACCGACGTCGAAACGACCCGTTAAGTACTCCTTTTCTCATGATTTCACCTCGTGAAATGATTTTCTCGATTCCTAGTTTGATAAAATGCGACCAAGTGTTTCCAGGAAGCTGTGAGCGAATCCTCCTATTATATAAATCGACGGTATTTCCGAGAAGTCCTAATCGCCCACGATACTTTTGCTTTGCAAATATACAAATTCTGCAGAAGTACACGAAACTCTTTTTCCACATAAAAAAATTTCAGAATAAAAGATATCTCGTTTTTTCTAAGATTGATGTATTGATACGTTTCTCTCGCGGCAATAATAAATATAATATCAAAAAGTCTAACAGATGTTCCAATTTAGCCGAAGAAAAGCTGACGATTTACAATATACTGTCGTTAAACCAATTTCCAAGTTATGCCTCGTTAAAAAAGATACGTTTTTTTTATTGGTGTCTTTGGAACGCTTTGAACTTTCACATTTGAACACGCACGATCAAATGCTTCTGCACGAACAGATTACGATCGCGATACGTGATCCTACGAATAAAAATTATTTTTCTCTTAAATATTGCTCCTCTCTCGACGTTGAATGATACCGGATTAGCAATTCTTGTTGCTCGTTTTGCGGCTGAGACTACGTTTCCAGCTCAACTCGGTAACGAATATTTCACGATCTTTCGTCGAATAATTCCTCAACTACTGACCCTCTTTTCCGTGCCGAGAGAATCTCCATTACGAGGGTGTATAAATAGTTGCTTAAAAAATCAGATTGCTTCCGTCGTTCTATATTTAACAACTTCGGGAATGATGAGAAAGAGAAAGAAAAAGATGTAGTAAAAATTATTTTTCTTCTTATCACACTTCGATTAAATTCCTTCAATTCTCACCTCGCTTCCGCGTTATATGCCGCGTTTATATGCTTCACTAGATCTTCGCGCAAGACTCTCGCTTATGTCGACTGTTCCTTATAATCCACTGTGACAAAACGTATGCTCGACAGAACATAAGTCCTCCTGACAATCACATTTTCGCCTATTTACGATTCGCGAGTCAGGATTCTTCCATTTGTTCTTCGCGCTGGTACTTTCGTCTTCGATCGTACCGGTAAATGGAGAAAAAGGGTGGAGAGTTCAAGTGTATACGTGTTACCCTTAACGAACAGCGCCGTGGGACGCGCGTTTGTGCGCTAAGTCATCCACAAGAAATCTCGATTCAGAATGCCCTACGCGCGCTCGTCCCTCAGGATTACGCTCCCGACGCAATGAATTTACCGTTACGTGGCCGACCGGAAATTGCAACCTTTCTCCCGGTGTTCTTCTCATACTCACCCCTCTTTTCACAGAACTTCTATTCACTGGCGTTATGTGGGAAAAGGGCAAATAAAACGGTGTCTGACTTTTCGGCGACTTCCTGAAGTACGATCACGTTCCGCACCGAGTAGCGAGAACGGCGAATTTTTGGTGTGCAGCTTCTCGTGATCTCTCGTGATCGTTTGTCGACGTGTCGGAAATGCAGGGCGTAGCAGGGGTCGATCGATGCCGGGGATACTGAAAATTCCCAGGGTGTAGATTCCGCGTAAATCAGTTTCGCTAAACGACTTCGCATGCCTCCCCTTTCCGACGATTCTCCGCCCACTCTTTTTTCGAACGTGGGTAGATGGGTGGGTTTTATTCGCTGTCAGAGACTTTCGATACCGAATTAATATTTTCAGTGGTAGCTTCCGCGCAAAATAAACCGGTGAAAGATTTTATTTCTCAATGATCGATTTTTACCGAACGGAAAGACCGCAGAACTTGGAATCGTTTGACAGGCTCCGGAATTTCTTTAGTTTTCCGCGCTTTTTCTTTCCGACTGTTTTCCTCTTCCTGCCTCAATAGTTTTCACTAGCGACGCATCTTCTACTTGTCGAACGCGAGACGTTGAATTTTGTTACGAATAATTTTTCACATTCGGTGACATTTCTCACGCGTTTCCTTAATTCTCCCGTTTCCTCTGCTCATCGATTTTTCACTGCATTATATGTTTTCCCTCGAAATCGAATCAAATGACTTGTCGAAGGCGATTCGTTCGCACCTTCTAATTCGAGTTCGCGCAAGTAGCCGATTGAATCTTTAATTCAACCATTTAAATTCCCGCTCAAATATACCAAACTAATTTCATTATGTCGATTATTTGGAATTTCTCCTTCTTCCCGGGAATCAAAGCCAATATCTTCCTTCTTAGTGTTTTTTTTTCTCTACGCAGTCAATTAAGATGTCCAATGAACCAATTATTTTCCTTCACACCTCTCACGAAGAGAAAAAGGAGCTAAAACGTTACATGAATTTTCAATTATCCTTCTTCGTGGTTGCCTAAACATTCTCACGGGTTTTCTTTAATTACTTCGCTTCTACGCGAGAATCTGATATGCCGAATGAATTTCCAACGATCCCTCTTGGTTTGGTCGCAATTTATTCTTCGAGTTGCGCAAAACGCCGGATGAATTTTCGATGAGTTTCACTGTCGCTCTTCCGTATTGCGCCTGTTACACTTATTCTTGATAAGGAACTGAATAATACTACTACTATAGTATCATTATGATACTTAATCAGCACTTTATAGAAGCACCGATTAAAAAATAATCGGCGGACTTTTAATTAAGCGAATTTCCTAAAGTACGATATTCATCCGTAAGTTTACCCCGCAATTTCTGGTTTATTTCGCTGAAATATCTTTAAAATATCTCTCTCTAATATGCGTCGAAAAACTCAGCGCTCCTCTCGGAAATTCAGTTTAAATAATTATACAATTGCATTAATTATCGCCGATTTTCAGTCTGAAATAACCAAATTTTCGGCGGCCTTTATTTTAATCACTACGCAAATATATATTTTCACTAAAACACCGAATAAAATCCCGTTTTGTTCTCTTCACTTCTATTCCTCCGATATGCTGAACCTCAGTCGAATCATCCACTTGAATTCGTTTCTACCTTTTCACGTTTCGATTCCCATTCGGCCCTTACTCGATTCTGTCCTCCTTAATTGCCCTCTTCTCAATTTTTCTGCAGTTCGATTTTCCTCTCTTTCAATCCAAACATTTAAAATACTCGCTCGATCGCGAGTAATAACTCTTGCTTTTCACCTTTTCTCCTTACGCTTTCTTTTCTGATATTTCCTCCCGACTGCCTGCACTTTTTAATTGTTATTCTCCATCTATTATTCTGCTATCTGGATGTCACAAAGCATTTTAAAGTTTCGCAAGTTTCTTTCAATTTCATTGAGGCGCCAAATAGCTTTATAACAAAGACGACGGCGTGACAATTTTAATTTTGCTGATGCAGCGAAATAATTATTGCACGGTCCAAGTATTGGACCATTTCTAAGTGCCACTCAAACTTTCCCAATGCTGACGATTCCTCTTCTTCAAGTTCGGCAAGCCTCCAAGTAGTCCTTCGTTTTTCCACTTGATATGAGACTAAAGTTACTGCAAATCCCGACCAAATTCTCGCGGAAACGTTTCGCGAGAGGTCTTTCTTGAAATATTTCGATTTTCAATAACGGCAAAAGAGAGAACAATATGAGAAAATCGACCACGATTAGTCGCGAGCTGGAAAATACCGAGTTCGTCCGATAAACATGTCAACTGTGATGCAAGGGAAATCCTATTTACTTTCGTAGCGCGCATGATTATCCGACAACGCGGTACCGAGCTTTACGCATGCATCTTACTGGTTCCATGAAAAGAATTTTGTCGTTTGTATGCCAACCGGTGCGTTCTACGACGACGCTACAAAAACGTGAATGCAAGAAAAGCAACGCGTGTCTTCGCGAAAATGAGAAATCTTCTCGTCTTAATTATCTTCGATGAGATGATTGATTAAGAAGTTTAAGAAATTACAGACAACACTTAGACGCGTAATTAACGTTTACACTAACAATATAATGTTTATATATATGTACTCTTATATACGATTGATTCGATCGTGTGATGCCACAACTTACGTCGCAGAACGATGTTGCAGGCTTTCTCGGTGAAGTCACTGAGCAGTTTACTTTGATCAGTCTTAACAATTCTCACGCGTCAAGCCTCTGGAGTCTAGGAGTAAAAATCACAGCCAGCGAAGTGAAATTACGCTCGTCGATCATTGCCGCGATGGCGATCAGTCTCATGTGCTCTCGTATGTGCGCTTCTTATTTCTCTTTATTCTCGTCGACCTATCGTCCCGAATACTCCCGGGTACGCTAAGTTATCTGTCGGCACCTGGCGCACTGTCTGTATCTGAGCAATCTGAAGAGTGCCGCCTTCTTGATACGTTTCGATCGCATTATTTCGTCCGATCGACTCTGGCTCGACGATGGAGATCCTTTCGAGGTAATGCGCGTAATGCATCCCACGGGCACGCACTTCTCGATGATTTATTCCACCCTCGTGTTTATTCCGCCCACCGAACGGTAGCGTCTGCAAAAGAAAGCATGAGAAAAATCTCGTTGTTACTGCGACAAGGACTTAATATCAATTGGCGACGAGTGCAATCTGCGAGGCAATTTAATCTCGAAGAGAAACAATGACGAGACTGACTATATTCAACTATTAAGCAGTAACGTTACGTTTTCTTCGTACTTAACGAAATAAATTTTGTCGAAGAGAAAATCTCTTGTTTCCGTCTCTAAGTTTTCTACACAGAAAGAAAGTTTTTGCTAAAGTATTGGAAAATTTAGATACAAATAAAAATAATAATTTTGTTGACAAAATAATTGCATAAAACGTTCAAGAGTTGATTGCTAGAGTATAAAAAAATTTTCGCAGTATTGTTCATGCTTGAGTTTCCTATAATTATTTTAATGGTCCAACAAAATTATTTTCAGATTTGTTCCTAGTTAAATTTTTAGATATTTCAACAAAATCATTTCTTTCTACGTAGTAATAAAACAATAATTAAATCTAATGCGAAAGTAACAATAATTACTTTCTTCAATAGGGTATCCAAATTTACGAAGAAGTTATTTTGAAGGTTAATCAATGATATTTTTTCTTTTTTAAAAATAAACATCTTTTTTGCCTTATATTATACATAAATAGATGAGCTTAATTAATATAATTATTAAACGTATATTAAACGTTTACCCCTCCTAAAGTTTTATTTATTTTTTCATTTTTAATTATAAAAAATACATTTTTTTTATTTTTTATTCTAAACAAATTTTTTGTAAATACATAAAATATTTTTCCTCTTTACAATTACATTACAATCATGTAAATAATTTCTGGAACTTTCGTTAGTTAGAATTTTTACAAAGTATCTGAAACTTAAAGAAAATTTTTACAAAGTTTGTGAGCGAAAAATAAAGAATATATGCTGAGATATTAATAGTATTACATTCATATAACTATACATTTCGTTTCTAATAACTGTATTTCGTTTATACTTGTTTCAGGAAAAATAAAAGTTATGATTTGCAAAATTTTTTCTAATTCAAGAATGAGAAGGAGAAATGCGAAGTTTTAAAATATAAAATAAAAAATTACTCGTTAACGCAAAAAAATTCTATTTATGTGCGATAACACAATTAATAAAAACGCTCTTAAAAAAAATCCTTATACTTACCTATGTTATTAAATTATTGTATTGCTATCTATATTATTCAATTATTACAACATGTATTATATATATATATATATATATATATATACATATGTATATTCGACTAATTATTTTCTACAACCGTCTGTATATCACAATCCAATATTACCTAAGTGTTATATGTGACTTTCGAATCTGCTGAAATTCTAAATTTGATAGCTCTATTCTACCAAACGGATCGGATGTACGAGGAGCGGAACGGTGTGCGCGAAGCCGATAGGGAATTCGATTCAAAGACTAGATGGAATTGAACGTAGATGAATGGACAAGCCCGGGCGAGCAAAAAAGAAAGCCGGGGTTTTGACAACAACCACTCGAATACAAAATATACTACTCGTTGGTAGATCTTGAAAACAAAGGTCATTGATTGATATTTTCGTTCAACGCTCGCGTTATATACATGTATATCTTCTCTAAAAATCTCAATTAACATAATGTAAATGGCTTCTCTCTTTCTCATTTTTCCTTTCATTAAAATCGTAGGCGTCATAAATTTCACAAAAAAGTGATCATATGCAAACA